TTTATCAGTTCTTCCAGTAGCGGAATGGCTCCGTCATGAACAATCGTTTCACAGTTGTCTTCATTACTGCTGGCAAGCTTTCGTAGAGCAGCTGCAGCGTTCGCTTTCTGAGCAATCGTCCCAGACCGCAAGAACTGCATCAGTGGCAGAATGACCTCTTCACTCGGGAACACCACATTGCTGTTGTTGTCATCGGCTCTTGCCAGGTTCCCCAGCGCTCGCAAAGCTTGCGTTTTCTGCTCGTCCGTTCCCGACAGTACAAGCGTCACGAGTGGTTGCAAACCTCCTTTATTCACGATTTCAACACGGTTAGCGTCGCTGTTGTGTGCGATGCAGCCAAGCGCGTAGGCCGTCCACTGCTTCTGGTCGTTGTTCCCAACGCGAAGGAGCTCGATCAATGGCGCAATGGCTCCATCTCGACCGATCTCATCGCGGTTGTCATCACTACACGCTGCTAGATTGCCCAAAGTGTAGGCGGCTTCCTGTTTCTGAGCGTCCGACCCTGATCGAACGAGTTCCACGAGCGGCAGAATAGCGTCGTCCAGATCGATCGCTTCAGCTACCGCGCTGTTATCACAAGCCAAGTTCCCAAGAGCATATGAACTCCACTGCTTCTGAGCATCTGTCCCAGTCTGCAGAAGCTTCACTAGAGGTGCGATGGCTCCTTCTAGCGTGATCTTGTCTCGGTTGTCGTCGTTATACGCCAGGTTGCCTAGAGTGTAGGCGGACCACTGCTTCTGAGCACTTGTACCCGATTGAATTAACGAAATTAGCGGCGGAATGGCTCCTTCTTGCGCGATCGCAACGCGATTCGCCTCGTTATTTAACGAAAGCGCCCCGAGAGCGTACACCGCCCACTGGTTCTGTGCATCCGTCACCACTTTCACGAATGCCACCAGAGGGGGGATGGCTCCTTCACGTGAGATTGTAGCGCGGTTCTCGTCGTTATCAGCCGCTAGGTTGCCGAGAGCGTACGCCGCCTCCTGCTTCTGCATGTCCGTTCCGGACCGTAGCAATGATACTAACGGCGGGATGGCTCCCTCTCGAGCGATCGCCACGCAGTTCTCGTCGTTGTTGCTGGCCATAGTCCCCAACGTCTCAGCCGACCAAAGCTTCTGGTTGGCCGTACCATTCAACAGGAGAGCAACGAGAGGTGCCAGTACTCCAGCATTCCGCAGTCTGTCCCCTTCACCTCGAGTTGCTAAGCAAGAACAGAGTATCGACGCGTCTTCCTTTTCCTGTGCATCGCCAAACTGGAGATGCCGTACAAGTGACTGAATTTCTGGTTGAGCAGCTTGTCGAACGCATCCTCGTAGTACTTCGAATTCGGAATCGCTCATCTTGGAGTAAATGAACGTAAACCAACTCAAACAGTGAAGCGCGTACAGCTCCGTGTAGAAGCTGTTCCCTTCTCGGATCAATTGTGCAAATAGTCCAATGCCGCCAGCTTGATACACTTGTACGCGGCTGTTACTGGTCACACATTTTCGTATGAGAGCGAGCAACGCCCGTTCCTTCTCGGCAGCGTGGCGTGTG